TTTTAAATTATTTGTCGTTTTACATTTTTATTCCAACTATGTTGTACAGTAAAGAATCTTCAAGTATTAGAGATAGATAAACGAATTACAAAATATGAAAAGAAGTATAGTAATTATTAGCCATGGATCCGGATTTGAAGCGGGCAGTGGTGCAGGACTTGGACCGGTTTGTAAGGCGAGGAAGGATAACTACTGGAGTGTGGGGAAGGCGTGGAGGAGGGGTTACCTGCTGCAGGGGCCACTGGGCACCGAAAAGTCGAGCCTACTGGTGGCAATTGCCAACTACCTCAAGTTCGCTGTGTTACCTACCTCGCGAGTTTGTACATCAACTCGGTGCTAATTAAGAGGCAGCTACTGAGCACGAATAACCGGTTGATGATAGTTATTGAGGATGTTGATTGCAGCACACAGATGCATGATAGGGATGGAGACTCGGACTACTACAACAACGAGCCGCGTCACAGGGTTACTATCCTTTTCTTGCCAAACTAGTTCATTTTAGTTAAAAGCTAACAGAAATTCAATTGAAACATGCCAAACTTTGCATCATCTTTTAGTTTGGAAACAATTGACCTTATTGGGCATGCTGAACTTTATAGATGGGCTATGGTCCAGCAGCGGAGACGAGAGGATAATTATTTTCACCACCAACTACAAAGAAAAGCTCGATCCAGCGTTTTTTGAAATCAAAGAGTTGATTCGAGAAGTTGAGATAACTCCAACAGAGATTGCAGAGCAGTTGATGAGGAACGAGGACCCCGATCTCACCCTCGAGGGGGTGCTCGATTTGTTGAAGCAAAATAAAGAAGAGAAGAATGTAGAAATCAAGAAGACTGAGGCTAAGAAAGATGAGATTTGTGGATATTTTGATGGAGGTGAAAGTAAGAGGAAGAAAAAGAGAAGAGCTAACTAGGGGCAATTGTTGGAAGTAAAAAGCGCTGCCCTAAAAGTAAATTTGTTTAGATGATTTTGTTTCACATATTTAATTGGATATTTCAAATGATAGTAACACGTTATTTTGTTAAGGAATATTCTACCCAACACATATTACATTGAAAATCTTGTTATGTTTGATGCAAAAAATTGACTCCAAAACATTTGCAGTGCAAACCATTTCAGAAGTTTAAATTTACGAGGCAACTATCGATTAAATAAAAACTAGATGTTAGTAAAAACAAACAGAAAACAGGAGCTAAAGAGTAGATTTACCAGTCTAAATGTGATAGGAGGCTGCTGAAGATGGTTGAGGTAAGATGAATT